CTATCCTAACCACTTTGAATACACAGATACAAAATGGACATTCATCTGTATCCCCTTTTTTTGTTAAGTTCCATCATTTAAATATTATAGATGTGTAAACTCAGCAAAATATTCTAAAAGAGTTCAGTAGTCCATAATAGTATTGGGTCTTCCACTTGACTGGCAATGTCAGAAATTGTTGACCTGAGTTCCCTACAGCTCAACATAACAGCATGGCTTTCCTTCTTATACTTCATTTTTATACTTTTCTGCTGGGTGGTTAAGACCAAGGTAAAGCAAGACCTATGCAACAAAAGTTGTAGCTTTTGGGTCTGATAAGGTCAGTCAAATCCCCTCATGATTTATCCTGAGATCCTGTATCTCAGATTGTAGAACCTTTGTCAGTGTCAGCCATGTGGATGAGTCATGGCCATTGCTTGGCCAATGTGCTCTCTGTGAAATAAAGTTGTTCTTTTTAAAATTATACATTATGAGAACTTTGCCTAACTCAAGAACAAAGTTAGAAAACAAGTTTTCTTCTGGAAGTTTTATATTCATAGGTTTTATAGTCCATTTAAACTTAATATTTGTATGTGTTGTGCTGAGATGCTTGAAGAATGGGTTGAAGTTCATTTATTTTGCATATTGATATCACACTAAGCCTTTTTGATATGCTTGGTAGATGTGATTGGGTATGACTCTTGGAAGGGTTTTTTTTTTTTTTTTTTTTTTTTGCAATACTTGAGATTGAACTCGAGCTCTTATGCTTGCCAAACAGTGCTTATGCTGCTGAGCAGAAGGGTGGGTTCTGCACCAGAATATAGAAGCCTTTTTATGTATTGAATTGATAATTATGTGGTATAAGATAGCTCCTAGTGAGAGTTACCTGTTTTTTAGCCTAACAAGTTTTTAATGTGTATACTCTCTGCCTAGAATTTTATCCTTGAATTGACAGTACAATATAATATAAGAACGATGCTTACCTTGTGGGTAAGGTAATTCTGAGATTTGGAGGAGGGATATATAGCTCTGAGTTAAGAGCTAGGTTGGTTTGTGTGTATGTATCTGTCTGAGTACTACTCATGGAAATATGAAAACCAGCCACCATTGGTAGTCTGAATTAAAAGACAAATCAGTGAACTCTTAAGTGTGGGAATGTATGGATTGTGTAGCTAGAAGATTTTAACTTTTTTCCCCCTGTACTGGGGATTAAACTAAGGACTTTCACAATAACCTATATCCCTAATGCTTTTAAATTTTGTTTTAATTTATTGTTTTTTAATGTGTGTGTGATACAGGGTCTCTCTATGCAGCTCGGACTCATAGTGATCCTCCTGTTTTCAGCCTCCCCAGCGCTGGGATTACAGGCGTGCCCCACCGTGCTCTATCTCTGTGGTTGGCTCAGCGTGACGTGGGGTGGGGCCTATGCAGCATGTGGTGCCCAGGATTGAACCCCGGTCCTTGTGCCTGCCTAAGCAGGCACTTAGTCTGCTGAGCTATCTTGCCAGCCTTCTTAACATTTATTTTGATACATGGTCTTACTAAGTTGCCTGGGTTGGGCTCAGACTTGTGATCTTTTTGCATCAGCCTCCTGCAATGTGCCCTGGTGTGAGGGACCACACCATGTTTGTTTTTTTAAAACAAAATTAAACATGGCATGTATTAGATACAATGTTGCTACAGCATTGCTTTCATAGATAAATACAGATTATATGTAATTTCCAACATAGTAGATGCAATTTTCACCTTTTAAAAGATCTACATAAGATTTTTTAAAAAAAATTTTGTCACATAGGTATTTTGTGTGTGTGTGTGTGTGTGTGTGTGTGGCCAGCTCAGCCCACCAGGGGGCAGGGCTGGCTGGCATGTGGTGCTGGGGGATTGAACTGGTGGTCCCTGTGCCTTGCTAAGCTTGTTCTAAGTAGGTGCTTTAGACCACTGAGCCATCTTACCAGCCCAAGAAAGATTGTTGTAATACAAATGAATTCATTTTATTGTAGGGTTTACCCTGGACCTTAAATCTTAAAGAATTTAAGGTTTTACAATAATGAATCATAAATTGGGTTGCCTATAAATGGTAGAAATTTGTTTTTTACAGGTCTGGAGGCCAGGAAGTCTTAAGATCAAGCTAATAACAGGGTCACTTTCTGATTTACAGATATCTTATTCTTGCTGTGGCCTTATCTGGTGCAAGGGATGTGGGTATCTCTTGGGTCTTTTTTATATGAGCACTAATTCTATTTATGTGGATGGACTGTACTTCATGATCTGATCACCAGTCAAAGTCTCCAGCTTTTAGTGCGGTCACCTTAGAGAATGTTTTAATGTATCAATTTTAGGGAGACATAGACATTTAGACCATAGGACTTTCTTTTTTTTTTGTTGTTGTTGTTATTGGGGGGTACTGGGAATCGAACTCAGAACCCTGCACTTGCCAGGTGGGTGCTATGCAGCTGAGCTACATTCCTGTTCTGAGACCACAGGACTTTCTTTTTTTTTTTTCCCTTTTGTCTGTTTGAGACATTGTCTCACTATACAGTTCAGGCTGGCCTTGAGCTCACTTTGTAGCCAGGCTGTTTGCAATGCTCCTCCTTCCTCAGCCTCCCTTAGGACTTTCATTCAGTTAATTTAAGAAGGAAACTAATAATGAACTTGAATACTTTATCAAGTTTAATTAATTTGTGTCAGAATCCTCATAAGTGTCCAACATTTATGTGTTGTTGTGATACGGAAAGTTGTTGGTTTAATTTTTTTGGGTGTGTGTGGGTATGGGAAATTGAACTTAGGACGTTGAGCTTGCCGGACAAGTACTACATCACTGAACTAAATCCTTGGCCCTGTTGACTTTATCTTGTAGCTTTTAAATTAGTGTGCTTCAGAATCATGTGGAAGGATTCTTAGGTGGGAGGCATGTTAAAAGAGATTTTTGATCACCACCTCTGGAATTTTTACTACAGGAAATCTGGGATGGAGCGTAAAAATTAGCATTTTTAACAGTTGCAGTACTGCTAGTCTGTTGACTGTGTTTTGAAAATCACTTTTTTAGGAAAGAACTATTCATGTGTCCTTTACTTTTATTTATTTATTTATTTATTT